CCTCCTCGCCTCCTCCGCCTCCTCTCCCCACTCACTGCCCCCCGAAGCGTATAACGCCGTCCTCCCATTCCTCTCCCACGACCTAGCGGCTCTCGACAAGGTCCTGGAAGAGATGTCCCTCCTGGGCTACGGCCTTCCCAACCCTGCCTGCGCCACTCTAGTCTCCACCCTCGTCCGCTCCCGCCGCCTCGTCGACGCCTTCCATGCCATTGGCATCATGCGGCGGCTCAAGTTCAGGCCGGCGTTATCTGCGTACACCGTGCTGATTGGTGCTCTGGCTGAGGCGCGGCAGCCCGAGCGTGCGCTGGAACTGCTGCGGCAGATGCAAGAGGTCGGGTATGAGGTGGGCGTGCCTCTTTTCACGACGTTGGTGCGGACCCTGGCCCGCGAGGGAAGAGTGGAGGGCGCGTTGATGCTGGTGGACGAGGTGAAGGGGAGATGCCTTGAGCCAGATATTGTGTTGTACAATGTGTGTATTGATTGTTTTGGAAAGGCTGGGAATGTGGACATGGCCTGGAAGTTCTTTCATGAGCTGAGAGCCCAGGGTCTGCAGCCAGATGATGTATCATACACAAGCATGATCTGGGTGCTTTGCAAGGCAGGGAGACTAGGTGAGGCAGAGGAGTTATTTGGGCAGATGGAAGTGGAAAGGGCTGTGCCTTGTGCTTACGCATATAATACTATGATCATGGGATATGGGTCAGCTGACCGGTTTGATGATGCTTACAAGCTGCTTGAGCGCTTGAGGGAGAGGGGTTGTATTCCATCTGTCATTTCATTTAATTCAATTATCACGTGCCTCGGGAAGAAGAGGAGGGTTGATGAGGCACTGAGATTGCTTGATGTCATGAAGAAGGATGCTAAGCCAAATACCTCAACGTATAACATCATTATTGATATGTTGTGCATGGCTGGGAGGGTTAATGAAGCATATAAGATACGTGATGAAATGGAACTTGATGGCCTATATCCAAACTTAATGACAGTTAACATAATGGTGGATAGGCTGTGCAAGGCAAAGCTGCTCGATGAGGCCCATAAAATATTTGAAAGTGCGAGTCAGAGAGGTTGCAATCCTGATTCTGTGACGTACTGTTCCCTTATGGATGGCCTTGGAAAGAAGGGAAAGATTGATGAGGCCTATAGGCTATTCGAGAAAATGTTGGATGCAGGCCACAATGGTAATCCTGTGTTATATACTTCCTTGATCAGGAATTGCTTTCTGCATGGAAGGAAAGAAGATGGGCACAAGATCTTCAAAGAGATGATCCGTCGAGGATGCAAGCCTGATCTCATCCTACTTAACACATATATGGATTGTGTTTTCAAAGCAGGTGAGATTGAAAAGGGAAGAGCAATTTTTGAGGACATCAAGAGTTATGGGTTTCTTCCTGATGTTCGAAGTTACTCCATTTTGATTCATGGTGTCACAAAAGCTGGTCAGGCTAGAGAAACGTCCAGTATTTTTCACGCAATGAGTCAGCAAGGTTTTGCACTTGATGCTCGGGCTTACAATGCTGTTATTGATGGGTTATGCAAATCTGGAAAGGTAGACAGGGCCTATGAAGTTCTCGAGGAGATGAAGCTAAAACATATCTCTCCAACGGTTGCTACATATGGATCGATTATTGATGGTCTGGCCAAGATTGATAGGTTAGATGAGGCTTACATGCTTTCTGAAGAAGCGAAATCGAAAGGAATAGAATTGAATATTATTCTGTATAGTTCTCTCATAGATGGCTTTGGGAAGGCTGGCAGGATAGATGAAGCTTATTTAATTTTAGAAGAGATGCTGAAGAAGGGTCTGACTCCAAATGCTTATACATGGAATAGTCTCATGGATGCTTTAGTGAAAGCTGAAGAAATCAACGAGGCCCTTATTTGTTTCCAGTCAATGAAGGAAATGAAATGTCCACCAAATACCTATACATACAGCATTCTTATAAATGGCCTTTGCCGGGTACAGAAGTACAACAAGGCTTTTGTGTTCTGGCAAGAAATGCAAAAACAAGGTTTGATCCCAAACGTTGTCACTTACACAACCATGATCTCCGGGCTTGCAAAGGGAGGGAACATAACAGATGCTTACAACCTATTTGTGGGGTTCAAAACCAATGGCGGAGTGCCTGACTCTGCATGTTTCAATGCTCTCATAGAGGGTATGAGCAATGCAAACAGAGCAATGGAGGCGTATCACATTTTTGAAGAAACTCGTCTAAGGGCATGTAGAGTCAATGTGACGACATGCGTCAGTCTTTTAGACGCTTTGAACAAGTCTGAATGTCTCGAGCAAGCTGCGGTCGTTGGTGCAGTTCTGAGTGAGATTTCCAAATCCCAGCATGCTTCTAGATCCTTGTAATATTCAGGATCTTGTATTGTGACACACTGTTGCAGAATTTGCATCTCTGCTGTGACTGAGTTGATCTGGCTGTACTGTTTGTGCTTCTTGGTCACTTGATATGGGAGTTTTTATGTGGCTTATAATATATTTTTTAAATGGCTGAAATTGAATGCATGCCTGCTGTGCTGCTGTTTGGAGAGAAGACATTCTTCTGTAGTTCCCTTGATTCTGGTAAGGTTCTGATCTTCAACTTTATATATCTGCTTCTAGAAAAGAAGAAAAATCCAGTCACTATGCCTAATCATATGTTGGAACCAATCTTTTTACCAGGTAAGCTGATGATTTGAACCCTCCAAGTTAGCACATTAACTTATTTTGGAACATCGTATCAAACCTTAGCCATATGAACCACAATTAATGCAGAAGGTTTAGTTTGAATATTTCCCTCCTTGCTGTTTTTTTTAAACATTATTAGAATTTAGGGACAATCTTCAATATTTTACCATTTGAAATGACGAAAGTTAGCCAAATCATAGTATGGTGTGCTCTAGACTTCCCTTCATTGGTGTTGTCGAAATTTCCTATGAAGTTCCTGTGAAATTCCTTCACTCCAAACAGGCACCGATCACATGATTTGAACAATGGAGTTGAGTTCATCATTGATGATAAATAGTTGAGTTTGGTAGCTCGCTGACCAATGTTTTTGGCATCTTGCTTTTATTTTGCTGTATTAAGTTGATTTAGTTTGAATATTTATTATTTTGCCTCCTTGCTGTTTAACTTTTCAAAACATTTGAATTTAGAGACAATCTTCAGTATTTTGCCATTTGGAATGTTGAAAGTTAGCCAGATCATAAGATGATATGCTCCTCTAGACTTCTCTACGTTGGTGTTTTCATTGAAAATTCCTGTGAAATTCCTGCATTTGAAATAGGTGCCAATCACATGATTTGAGGAATGGAATTGAAATTTCATCATTGATGTTAAAAATTTGAGTTTGTTAGCTTGCTGTCCAATGTTTTTGGCATCTCGATTTTTCTCTTGCCGTGTAAAGTTGATAGTACATTTGCTGCTTATGTTAGGGCCTCTCAAACAATCGGTTCTGGCTCATGAAATCTGTTGAAGTGTGTTGTATGTGTGGCCATGCGGCCCAGGCCCATATAAGCCATGTGGCTGGCTGACCTAGAGAAAAGAGAGAAGGGGATCGAGCTGTCTGGTGAGAATCGCCACTAGAAACATTGCCACTGCTGCTGGTACGCTCCTCCAAATCCCACATGGTATCAGACCAGGCTGCAGCGGCGCCGGTGGTGTAGTCCGGTGGGAATACAGGGCGAGTGCGGGGAGCTGGGCTTCGACCGCAAGGCGGCTGCGTGAGGAGGTGTGTGCGGGGATGCACGAGTGGAGCTGCGGCGTGCTGCTTGTGGCTGGAGGAAGAGAAGAAGCAGCGGGAAAAGGCGAAGGCCACACGCATGAGGCTGCACAATAGACACGGCCAATCAGTTTTCTGATTTCTCCTTGTTGATTCTGCTGCAGCTCGTGCTGAAGCAAGAGCAGGAAGCAAAGAAGAGGAAAAGGAGGCTTGCGCTGCTACTGTTGGCTACTGCTGCTAAGGGTGCTGCTGGAGCTGCTCTTGCTGAAGCTGTTTGCTGGAGTTGTTGATTGGAGAGGGAAGGAGGCAGCACTGGAGGTGACACTGCTAGGAGAAGAAGAGGTGGCGGCTGTTATGGGGAGCGAAGTGGGGCTGCTGCGTGAAGGCGGCATGAAGGCAACTGCAGGCTATGGTGGTGTTGAGGGGGAGTCAGTGTGGCTGGGAGGAGACGATGGCCTGAAGAGGACACATGTGCCAGGCGGGTGTGAGCTGTGCGAGGCAGAGGAGGCAACAGCGAATGGCGCTGGTTTGCTATGAACATGTGCAGCAAGTATGTGGCAGCAGGCGTGTGCTTTGCTGCTTTCCATCGGCGAAGTGATGCAGGAAGTAGAGGATACGGGTGAGATAGAACAACATGATAGCCAGAAGGATACTAGTCTTCCAAGTGTGGCTCATTTATCTGTACAAATGAGGGCAAGACTGAAAAGGCCACAATTGCTGCTCACAGACCTGATCTGATCTGGAGCGGATTCTAGACTCTGGCGCTTCTAAACATGTTGTAGCCTTGCAGGTGACTTCAGGGAATTTGAGTCATTTGATCAGCTCACTCCCTCTCAAAGTAACACAATATGTACTGCTGACAAGACTTTAGCCTTACATGTGCCAGCTTTCCCGGTCAATTTGTTGTCTATGAGTGCTCTAATTGACGAGGTGAACTGTAGGATAACCGTTGACAGAGAAATGAGCTTTATTGAGGGCAGACCAACTGGAAGGAGGATTGGGACTGAGGGTAACCGTTGACAGAGAAATGTGCTTTATTGAGGACAGACCGACTGGAAGGAGGATTGGGACTGGAACAAGGCCTAGAGGACCGTGGTACATGGACCATGAGGGGTGTGGTCAGATGGGCAGCTCAGTGTTTGCGGCAATTGTGGAAGAAAGCGAGTCCTCGGTGATGAAACGTCACTTCATGTATCCTTTGATAAAAATGTACAAGCTATGTATGATGTAATGAATGGGGTAGGTAAGAACAAGCTGAATGTGATGCGTGTGAGTTTGCTAAACACATGAGGACGTCTTATGCGAGTAAGGGACTCAGAAGTATATCCCCATTCATACTTGTTCACTCGGATATGTGGACAAGTCCTGTGGTGTCATTAGTGGTGTAAAGTATTTTGTGACCTTTATTGACTGCTACTCACGCATGACATGGATCTATTTGATGCGTCACAAAGATGAAACTTTTCAATGCTTCAAGAATTTCCATGCCTATGTGAAAATCACTTCAATGTTCTAGTACAAGTGATAAGAAGTGATAATGGCACTGAGTATGTGAATAAAGTGTTTGGGACTTTCTTATGAGAGGAAAGGATTTTGCATCAAACCTTATGTCCGGACACTCCTACTTAGAATGGACTGGCAGAAAGGAAGAATCGACATATTTTGGAGGTTGCTTGATCACTGATGTTCAACAGTTAGGTGTGGCGGAGATGTGCATGTTGAGATGGATGTGTGGCCACACAAGGAAGGACCGAGTCCTGAATGATGATATACGGGATAGAGTTGGGGTAGCGCTGATTGAGGAGAAGCTTGTCCAACATCGTTAGAGATGGTTTGGGCATATTCAGGGCAGGCCTTGGCGCCAATGCATAGGAGTGGTAGATGAGCAAAGCTCCTCTAGATAGTCTCATACACTTTGCTAACCCTAATTCGGAGCTAGGAGACGAGTACTTATAGTCCAAGGGGTAAGTTGGGGATACATGGGTCGAGGCTCCTTTCTCTGCGCACAGGCAGGCCGGTTGTACCGGTTACCCAGGCGATTGTACCGCTTGGTGCGGTTGTACCACTTTCCTGGAGGCGTGTGTTGAAGTGGAGACCGGTAGGACCGATTGTACCGGTCGAGCTGGGGCTGTAGGAACAACAGGGATGCTACCGGCCTTGAACCGCTCAAAACAGTAGGTTTGCCGGTCGGAGCGGTAGTTGGAGCGGTAGTGGATCGGTACTTGACTGGTTGTACCAGTGTTTGTGGGTTGGGCACAATTCCTCTCCATTTTCTTGGGGTCCATCTTGCTCTTTTCCTTTACCTCGGCTGATTCCTTGGTACCTAAGCACACAAAGTGTCTCCGTTTGAGGTAGTAGTCATGTCTCAAGTGGGTCAAAGGGAAGTTCAACTAGGAGAGAGTTAACCTCGGTTTTGATAGCTCTTGCACCGGCTCTTGTCATCGGTACACTTGGTGCTTGACGAGTCGGTGTGGTGTCCATGGGGATGACAGAAGGATTCTCAGCATCATCTCCCCCTCCTTGGGAAAGATCCGTCCTCGGATCGTTTAACTTCATCACCATGATAGGGAGATATGTCCTTGATGTTGAAGATGTCACGTTGTACTTGTCGCGTGGAATGTCGATCTTGTAGGCATTATCATTGTAGCGTGCTAGCACCTTGAGTTGGCCAGATCCGGCAATTTTATTGGCAGAACAGGTGATGCTCATTGTTGACTGTTTTTCATAATTTAAAAAGTGCTTGGTTCTAGGTCTCATGGTATTGACATTCAGATTTTAGGCACAGTTGTTTGTCGGAACAAAATATTGCTACCTTTGAGGAATATGATGTGTACATGAGTTACATATTACAATGGTCACTGAGTGAGCTACAAATTTAAAGCTTGTAGACAAAACATGCCAGTATGTGTCTATAGTCTCAGTTCTCGCACACAGAGTTAAGCATTGAGTTGATTTGCTATGATAGGATCCACTACTCGAAAAGATGCTGCTTCTTAGAGTGGATGTGCCTATTTCTGTTATATATGAATAGATTGTTATGGTTATGCCAGCGGCTTCTGTGAGGACTACTATTCATTTAGCCCTGTCTAGTTGTGCACGAAACTACTGTCTGATTCTGAATCTATCCTGCTGTACTATTTCTAGACTTGCAGTGTTGCTAATGTTCAGAAATAATTCATGGACTGCTTCCTGTTTGGTGCTGCCTTCAAACTGTTACTTTGGTAGTGCCTTCTTCCATCGTCTACTGACTATTTGTTCTTCCAGGGTGACCTACTGACCTTTGCTGGGATTTTCCTGTGTTTGTTTGGCGGAGCAGCTGATTAATAGCTATTCAGAGGAAGTAATCGATAGGTAGAGGCGTTTTGATTCCTGTTTCTTCAGGTGCTTACTCTTCCTGCAGCTTACTTTTATTGTCGTTACTTTTTAGCCCTTGCCTACTTACATCTGTGCGTGTACTTAAGTCTAATGGCGTTTTCTTTGGGTTCCTTTCCTATCCTGTGTTGGTTGGGATGTTTTCTGTTGTTGCTTGGTTACTGCAGGATGTTTGTGTTCCACTCTTCATATGTCCATTTGTTGGAGATGATTGCTTTTCAGTGTCGTTTGCTCTCCCACTTCTACCTACGTGAGGTAGCTGGCGATGGTTCCGTACTCGGAGGGGTGGAGATTGAGGTTGCGGTTGTCCAGCAAGGAGCAAGCATAAGAGGCTTTTCTTTGGGTGTGCATTTCGGCTGGCTCACGATGCCCCTTAGAAGAGGTTGGTTGCTTTCTGTTAGGAATTAATTAGCACATGCCTATTGTTGCTAATTAACGAACAGTTATTAGCAAAGGGTGTGTCCAATCCCGAACAGTATGTCCTTTTCTCTCTCTAATGCCAACAGGCACCTGTTCTGGAGAGATGATGCCTTCAAACAGGCACCTCTTCTTCCCATCTCTTTCAGATGTATATATACTTGAGATTCAATATAAACCAGGACTAGTCACTTTTATTCAATCTCGTTTTACTCTAACACCTTAATAGTCACGTTGCTTTCCATCAGAGAGAGATAGGCCATGCAGAAACTGCGGCCACGACAAGCCGTGGAAGCACGGGAGAAGATATGCGCCTGGGCTCCAGGGCATTCACGGCGGTGACGAGAATGCATCAGTTTGCATGCTTCGTACAAGACATTGAAATTGGAGAAAGCAACTTGGTTGTCTTTTCTCATTACTAGATGACTCGTTGCGCTCATGGCGCAAAAAGCGACAACACGCCACTAATTTAAAATTAACTTAATAGATACTTATATCTTATTATTATATGATACAGGATAAAAGGAAGTCAAAATAAGTAGGAATAGACTGCATGAAACAGTACAGATCATATCAGTACATGCAGTACAAATTAGCAAGAAAAATAAAATTACAACTGTGCCATTGGGACAAAAGAACCACACACTCTGGACACCTATACACACGCGTCACACATGTAACGTCGGAGGTCAGCACGTGGTTGACTGTTTGTCTTGTTCCATCCACCAGTTCACCATCTTCGTCCCGTTCCTTTCCCCATTCTACTCGTACTGAAGTGATAAAGCACCTGGTGGAGGCCGCCGCCGACACTTTGGGCTCCATCTTGGCGGCGGCTGACGCTGCAGCTTGGCGGCAGAGCGGCTCCTGCTGCAACTCAGAGGCGTTGCGGCTCCATCTGCATCTTGGTGGCCCGGCAGCTACCTCTGTAGCTTGGAGCTGCGGAACCGGCAAATGGTGCCACTGTTGCTCATACCGGCGAGCCAAATCCTCAGTTGCCACCGTCGCTCCCTGCCGTAGGTGGCGTCAGTTTCGGCTGTGCCAGCACTCCCTGAAGCTGGTAACTTTTCACGGCAAGGGATGCTCCAGCACGGCAGCCGCCGTTGCCACTCAGGTAAGAACTAACCTCCTTCAGTGTTTGATGAATCTGCAGATTTTGTGTGTGAGCTCGTTGCTACCATGCTAATAGCCAAGTCTCGAGGGCAGTGTTGATACTGAGCTGAGTGATTCAATACAGGAGCACTAATTAGCAGCTGAGACTGCTCCAATCATCCAGCTGGGTATATTGTATAAGATACTTAGTTGAGTGACCGCCTTTAAAAGAGTATCTTCTAACTAAGGGCTCCTTTGATTCAAAGGAATTGCATAGGATTTTTGGAGGATTTAAACCCTTAGGAATTTTTTTTTCTGTGATGCTCGTTTGATTCGTAGGATTGGCATCCTTAGGAATTTTTCCATATGATCAATTTGTACTACATTTTGGAGGAAAATTTCCATCCACTCAAACCTCTTTGTAGAATTCCTTTGTTTTTCCTATGCTATCAAACATTCTCTGCAGGAGCAACCTGAAGCCAAAAGAACACAAAACTGTATAAACTAAAATAAAAACATGCTCACATGCCTAATAACTTTAAAAGTCCGAGTCCTACTATAACAGTTCAAACAATCAATTGTCAGAAGAGGCTAATTAAGGTACTGGTATAAGGTACTTTAACTTTAACTAGGCACGCATAATATAGGATTGAAGAATTTAGATAAGATGCCAAGGGTTCTTCAGTCTATGGCACTCACCTGAAGACTAAAGCCATGGTTGTCATTGCATAGCTCTAGACTAAATAATAAGAGCATAACCAAAAGATTTACTCCCTGCGTTTCTAAATATAAGTCATTTAGACATTTCAAATGGACTACAACACATGGGTGTATGTAGACATATTTTAGAGTGTAGATTCACTCATTTTGCTCTGTATGTAGTCACTTGTTGGAATCTCTAGAAAAAGGCTTATATTTGGGAAAGGAGGGAGTATGCATTAGTGCATGAACAAATAATAAAAATAAGCATATAATATCCCATGCCATATGCACACCAAATGAAGGCCAAACAGAAGATCACCAATAAGGAAAATATTACTATGTAAGTATAATTTTTCAGGAAAACGATAGAATGGTGAGATTGAATAAATACAAGATTAAGAAAAGGGAACATGCAACAACAAAAAGCTTTCGAAAAGCAG